AAGCGAAGCCTTCGCTAACGGCATACGCTTGCTCTCCCTAAAAGCGTCTATGCAAGTGTCAATGCAATAGCTGCAGATGATAAGCTAGCGATTCCGTGAGCAACAACTGAGTGAACGTTGATTTCGCAGTACGATATTGCTTTCACACGATCCGAAAACACTTTCAATTTGCACTCCTTTCCGATTTTCTGACTGCCTCTTGCTTCCTTTTTACAGTGTAGTGATGCAACAAATGTGTTTACCCGCTGGGTGCTCTAGTAATAGGTATTGACCATTCATGACACGCTATTTTTGGCCCCTGTAGCGCACAGTGGACGTAGTCACGTCCGACCTCATATCGCACTCAATTTGCAGAAGCTGAGGCTTGACCTCTGTGAGCCCCGAATCCTGAGAGTATCTGGTCATTCTAGAATATGATATTCCTTTTTGTTATCTAAGTCTGCCTGGATTTGTCCTTTTTTCGACGTAGCACATAGTAAAAACAGTAGCGTACATGGGGTCGGTGCTTATACTACTGTAAACAATGTCTTTGGTTATCACATCGAAGCTGATTGTCTCTCCTTGTTTTTCAGTACTTTTGTATGAATATCCAATTCAATCTAATCTTGGAACCTTCAGGAGCAAGTTTCCAAGCCGAAGTATCCATGGACAATCATGGATCTTTGGAATTCAAAACGACTTTGGGTTTCAATAAAACTCAACAGCTGCATCGCAATCCAATATACGAAGAACATCCGGAGAATCCGAGCAGAATTGATGTTTGTCGGAACTTCCTAGTAGAAACTGGACTCATAAAGGAATGCCAGGAAATCGATGTGAGCCCGCAGAATTCGAAGGACCAGTCGCATAATATCCTAGTTTAGGCATTCCCTTCACTTGATGACTTGGATCTTCGGCAAACTCATGCCGAAGGTCACGTGAATAGGCTGCTGAAGGAGGCGATCTCTATGGATCAGGAATCTCTAAACCATCTATGTGAAGATTATGACTCTGTGTTCATGACACCGGTAGTGTTTATAGTTCACATTTGTGGCTTTTAGCAGTTTTTATCACTCTTTAGGGGTCAATAGAAGCCGCAAAGTCAGCTGTTTCGTGCTGCCGTTGGCTAGCCGAAAGTATCGTAGAAGACAAGGTGACTTCAATTTGCTTACCTAAACATTTATTATTATCTTTTTAGTGTTTTTTT